GAGTAACTTAATTATCTAAGTTAATTGAAACTTCATTATGATCCTCCCCCCGAGAGAAAGAAAATGAAAAAGAACGAGATCGAAAACTGTCTCAATTATATTTTATAATCGATTTACAAGTAAGTATATAAAACATTGATTACTATTTGAATCTATAATAAAAAAAAAAGTAATTCAATTAGATAGACAGACAGATAGATAGATCGAAAATCGATTCGAATAACGACGATGAGATCATATCGCTCGTAATTTTTTTCATCGAATCGATAAAGAACGATGCACCTAATAATATTACGTGGTGTGTATATATAAATATATATGATAAACTTTGATTTAGATTTCGATATCGGTGTAACCATTATATAAGTAAATCTATCCTTGTCATTTCGTATTATCACAATGCATCGAGAACGATCGAATTTCTTCTTTAGCTCGTGACTGAGCTTCGGTGGCATTCGCAGCACTCCCTTTCGCGCATGTAAAATCGTGCACCGATCCGGTGTCTTCTGCCAGGTATTTGAGAATGCGCGTTGTTCCGTGCTGATTTATTGTCCTCCTTTACCTCCATCCTCTTTTCTGTCTCTTTCTCTCTCTCTCTCTCTCTCTCTCTCTCTATCTATCTATTTCTCTCTCTCCCTCTCTCTCTCCCTCTCTCCCTCTCTCTCTCTCTCTCTCTCTTTCTCTAGCTACCTCATCCTCCCCCGTAATTCCATGCGAGCGTTCCGATTAAGCATGCTCGTTAAAGGTGGCGAACGCGTCACGCATTCGAGTACCGATTATGGTATGACGCGATTTCACGAGTCTCTCATTAGCGATGCGGTTAATTCGAAGGGAAAACGCGGAATGCCAGGAGTTCCACGAATCGGCATCGCGGTCGTGCCATCCTTTTAAACGAATCGAAAAATCAAGTAAAAATTTTACAAGTGATCTTGGTACATGATCTTTCTCCTTTCTCTCTCATCGTCCCGTAGTTCCTCCCCCCGCCTTGGATCTTCCGAGGATCTCTCATTAGCCATAAAATACGCGGAAAGGTTCTTCGGTCCTTTACGATGGTTCTCCTTCGGTACGCAGAAATTATTTCTTTACGACGCTTTCTTTTTTTTCTTATCTTTCTCTTTTCGAAATATTATGCGATAAAAAAGTAACGTGATACGATGATAAACGTGAAAATTCAGTCCCATGCAAATAGAGAAAAGTTTTATATGTATATATATGTACGTATGTATGTATATATATATATACACATATATATATATATATATATATATGTATATATATGATAATGACATATTACTCTCTTCATAACTTTTTCTCTGGCGATTCCGCAAGAAAATACATTTGGTAGACACTATACGCTATGCTAATTACACAGCACGGCTTGCTATGCAATTCCGCGGACTTCGACGCCTCGATCCACGGGAACTTAATTATAAGAGACGATCCTCCAAGAAGAAGAAAAGCGACGATAGACGTAGACGATGACAACGACGCGAAGACCGCCGCCAAGTAATTCTTCATTTCGCGCAAGAAATATAAATTTCTAGATGTGCTAGTGTGGTTGCTATAGCGCCAGCCTAGGTAATTACGAAAAGAGACGGGGATATGTCTCCGGATACGGTCGATTCAACTTCGAAGGATCCGCGTAAACATCCCTGAGAAGAGTACTAGAGAAAAGGAGGAGGAGAAAGAGAAGAAGAATTACGCATCGCGTGAGTCTTCGCGTCGTCTCTGCCTTCTTATTTATCTTATTCTGCTCATTCTTATTCTTCTTATTATTCTTAACTTTTCTTCTTCTTCTTCTTGCTATGAGAAAAGAAAACGAAGATCTCTTCTGTTTCTCTCTAACCCCTCGAGAAGTCCCATAACTCATGCTAGGTGTTTCCTCGGTAATGACCCACTCGTCTCTCGTCCGCGGGAGCTTTGGCTTCTCGTTTTACTCATCACGACGGCGACGGTGGCCCCTTGGCTAGCCGAAGTATGCTATAGCAAAACGAATCAGAGACTCTTTCTTCTTCTTCTTCTTCTTCTTATTCCTCTTCTTATTTTGATGTCTATTCTTCTTTCTCAGGTAATACATAATTATCGCCGTAAGGAATTTTCCGCATAGAAATCGCCGTGAGAAACGTTCCCTTCCGTTATTCGAATAATTCCAAAGAAAGAAATAATCTATTAGATTCGTATAATACATAGATCTTATATTATCAATGATCGTATCGGGAGAAAAGTGTAAAAGACGGAAATGAAAGGATTCCAATAGTGGATGGCGGGCTGCCGTTTAACAGCACGTCCCGATATGTAAATCTATGTGAAGGTCGTGGTAAAGAAGACAACGAAGTTGTTCTCTTCAGTAGGATCGGATGGAATGTCCGGTTAACGGTACGGCGTACGCACGATGCCGGACGCATCCTGCTCGATCAGAAAATTCAACGAGGGGTCAGGACGTTTCACGGAATGTCAGCACCTTCTTTCCCCCTCCATTCCCCCTTGTCTCTCTCTCTCTCTCTCTCTCTCTCTCTCTCTCTCTTTTCTACGATTATGTCGCGCCGTAGGTGAATCCTTATCTCAGCAGAATCGACGGTCATGGGGTTAAGCGTATTGCTGGAAATAGAGACTCTGAACATGAGTGTGACCAAGAGAAAGAGCGAACCGAGCAAGAGAGAGAGAGAGAGAGAGAGAGAAAAGGGAAGAAGAGACATTGAAGATTACGCGCGAAGATACGGCTTCCTAGACGGCGAAATTCAAATGAGCCGCGGTACTGAATCGAAGGAGAAGTTGGCGCTGGATCAGTTACACCGCGTTTGGTATCTGATGGTGGAAACTGGAACCATAGGACGAGGCTGTCGGTAACGTCTCGCTGTAACCGAGTGTGTAACGCGCGTGTCGTTTGTTTTATAAGCCAAGTCGGAGTTACAATAGTTGTCTACTCACCCTCTTTTGCCTTTTTATCAAGTCTTTCAAACCGGTTCCCAACGAACGTACGTAAGAACGAACGAACGAACGAACGAACGAACGAACGAACGACACTTGGCCTCTCTTCAAGAGGAAGAAACTCTCTTTAACTCCCGAGAGCTTAAAACTCCGTCGGTATAGCTTAAGCGAACTCTTTAAAGGTACGATCGACGATTTTCTCTTGATCTTGATGATGATTTCAGAAAGAGTAAAAGGAGAAATCACTTTGGCGACCGTATTTTATCTATACGATTATTTGCGCAATATACGGTTTTACTCAACGTGCTAGATTGAAACGTTAACCCTTAATTAGCGGCAAACTCTAAGGCGACCTAACCGACGGATCGCAAACGTCGACGGACGGCAGCCGCTAACTATGTTATAATCGTTTCTCGATTATCATCGCTGATGTTCACCTACTTATTTCGTAATAATTTCATTCAATCGTTTAACTTCTTCTTTTCTTTGCCTTTTTCGTCGCTCTCTCTCTCTCTCTCTCTCTCTCTCTCTTTGAAGATCTATCTACCGGGCGTCTTTTAATTTATGGATTAAGAACATAAATCACCGAATAGAAAATATAATAGACTTATTCGATACTGTTATTTTAACGCGGAGATACTTAAAGATCACCGATAAAATATCACGAAAAAGATTTCCTCTCTGTCATCTCTTTTCTTAGATTTATTCAGATACACGGTCTCCTTCAGTTTATCCGATATGATAGCACGCGATAGATATATATCAAATATGCACGTAATATATTTATATAGATACATATGTACATGTATGTATACGTGCAATTTCGTAGTACTCCTAGCAGACACGAGCTAGGTATCGTAATCGTCCTTCCCATTAAGACATTAAGAAATATCGACACTCGTAACTCTAACTTACGGATCATCCGCTCTTTTAAGAGATGTAAACGATCTCTTCTTTCTCTCCCTCTTTCTCTCTCTCTCTCTCTCTCTCTCTTATCTATCTATATGCATATGTGTATGTATATATACTACGTATATTTATCTATCCATGCCGTTGCTCGATCAATAATGTAGATATTTACGACGATCGTGGATTTCGATTAGATTTATATCCGTCGATCGAGAAGAGATTTACGTTCGAAAAGAAAAGGCTCGCATTTAAAAGCAAGTATTACAACGATGTCAATAGTATGAATGAAAGATTGAGGCAAGGACGAATCTCAACGAGGACGCCCACATTCAGAATTTCATTTCTAATCGTTCCTCTTCAGCTTTTTACGATATTTAAAGTGCATCGATGTAGAAAACAAAGAGAGAGAGAGAGAGAGAGAGAGAGAAAGAAGAGAACTTACGTGCAACAAAATTAACTTCGCAAATAAATCGAATATTGTTTAAACGAGAAAGGAAATTAAAATTAGATGCTGTAACATCCTAACTGTACGTAGAATTAAGCTTGATTACTCTACGGTTATATACAGATAATACTGAAGAAAACGGCAATTGGCGGGGATCCAATCGGCGAAACCTGGCACGTGTAGAAGTATCTCCGATCCAGGATTTACTTTACAGGTGGTACCGCGTGACCCCTCCACGTACGTCCAACTTAACTTCGTTTCTCCTTCTCTCTTACAACTGGAGAAAGAAAAAGAGAGAGAGAGAGAGAGAGAGTAGACGTAGAGATACCAACATGCAACATATATATATACACACACACACACATAACTCAGATGTATATATATATATACATGTACATATATAACGGCTTAACCCACACATATTTACATTTATCGATTTGTTTCTTTCTCTATCTTCTTCTTTACTGTACCTTTTTCTTAGTTCTCTCTTTCTCTTTCTTTCTCATTTTCTCTCATGAAAATATCGCGATTGTTGGAAAGAAAAAGAGAGAGAGAGAGAGAGAGAGAGAGAGAGAAAGAGTAGATGAGAATAGAGAGAAAGGGAAGAACGGCGGAACGGGTCCGAAGTCATCGAGGAGGAGACCGTTCCATGCCACCCCCACCTATAAGAGAGAGAGGCTATTTTACCGCTAGTCCAAGGCAAGATAGGATGACCTACTTTGACAGGCTCCTCCTAAGTAGAGGGGCATCCAGTGCGGCGTTGATTTCTAATCGGAAAAGTCGCTCCGTTGGCTCGTCGACCTAACCGGCCAATCCGCTGCCGACCGCTGCCTCACCTTCTTCTCTCTTTGCATCGAACGTTCTGCGCGAAAAAGAGATCCGTCCAATCCGGGAGCATCCGATCCGCCTGCTACTCCTAACAACATTTGCATGCATTAATCCCCCCTCGATCTGCCCGATTTTCTTTATTTATTTATTTTTTTTTTTGCTTTATCAATATAACAATCAAATCTTACAATGATGTTTTATATTCCCTAGTTTTACGATGTTCTTTTCTTTTCTTTTGTTATTTTATTTTATTTTATTTTATTTTATTTTATTTCATTTCCTTTTTTTTTCATTTGGTTTTCCTCTTCTTTCTCTCGATTTCATCTTATTCAAAACGTCAGGTTTTATTCGATCTGTCAAAATGATCATATTTTCATTAAAATGTTTTAAAGGGTTACTTTAACGTCGATTTCATGATCGAAGATTTCCTCATAATCATAACAGACGTTATAATTAATTCTATTACATATAATATGATCGATTTCATCGATTCATTCCTTTCATTCTATTCTTTTTCTTTTTTTCTTCATTTCCCTTTTTTTTTCATTTACTTTCAAGAAGATGAGATATTCATGTAACGAAATAATCATCCTTGGTACAGATTGTATCAATTAATCGACGAATAGATGTGAAATGTAAAGGTGTTAATATTAATTCTTATTCATCGTGAAATTGTTTAACAAAACTTTATACCGAGAGTAACAATTAAGAGATCATACGTTTCTAAGAGTTAAGATTTACCTTCCGGACAGGTCCGTGGGAAACGATGCACTGGTGCCAAGAAGGTAGAACAACCTCGGACCCGCTCAAATAACCGTTGTACGTCGTTAAAGACGCATCATTAAGGTTAAACGTTCTGAAGAAGAGAATTAGCCGATTCTACTATATCCATTTATTTCAACTTACGTCGAGAAGACGTAGAGAAAGAGAGAATGAGAGAGAGAGAGATCCTCGTTTGATGCAAAGTAACGAATTAATAATGTAAGCCGTTGACATATTATGAGTAATCTTCCTTGTCACGTTTAAGACCGAACGAAATATTAACCCTTTCTAGATTAATATATTATATATTTATTTATCATTATTTACGATCATTTTTTTTCGAGACTCGGACTCTCTGTAAAGTGTTTTTGATCGCATCCTTAACTCTTTCAATATAATACCCATCGTAAATAAAATAACATTAACGTTGTAACAAGTGAATATTTTATTCTCGAATATTTGTTTTCTATTATTATTTTAATTTTATTATATATATATATATATATGTATGTATATATATTTCTCAACTTTTCGAAAATAAATTCTAAAATTTCACATATGATTGAATTTAAATGTAATTCTTAATTAATTCACCACAGATATATATATATATATATATATATATATATATATATACATATATACATATATACATATGTATACTGTGTAGATTTATGAAACCGCGAATTCAATCGACATCTAATTACGAGCGAACGATAATATTTCTTCAGGGCAACTCAAAGTCCAAAGCATTGCGTAGTCGAGAATAAGAAGACGAAGTAGATGAAGAAGACGAAGAAGCCGAAGAAGACGAAGATGAAGAAGAAGAAATAGAATCGATAATAATTTAACCGAGTCTCTCGCGCTTGTGCAATCGTCCATCGGGCTCGCTTGCTCGCGCGCCCGCTCATGGTATCATTCGTCGAAGGATCGAGCATTCAGGACCTCGAGCATTAATCTTTCCTCTCTTTCTCGGCTATTCCGATCGAACGTTTCGGACGAGTAGACAGGGTACTCCATGACGGGAAATGTCGAGGTCCTCGTCGGCTGGGAATGAGTTTGCTGGTTTCCTCCCACAAGACAACTCTCTCTCTTTCTCTCTCTCATTCACTCTTTCTCTCTTTCTTTCTTTCTGTCTTCTATCTTTCGTATTTCTTCTGTATCTCTCTCTCTCTCTCTCTCTCTCTCTCTTTCTCTCTCTCTCTTTCGATCTTGCACCGTTCTTCTTTCGGATTCTTTGACCGGCTTGTCAGGAGCTCGCGACTATTGTTTTACCTACGGCGAATCCTCGTTGCGGCAATTTCCTCCTCTTAACGTCACGATCTTTCTTAGATGAAGAGGATACTAAGCCTGGACACGAGTTAAACGCTGGACCGGCATTTCGAATATAAAAATGATCCTTATATATATACATATAGAATACCTACATATACATTTATATATATATATATATGTGTGTGTGTGTGTGTGTGTGTGTGTGTGTGTGTATAAAAGCTGATGTTTACGATAAAAAAAAAGAAGGAAAGAAAGAAATTATTCACTAACTTTCCACATTATCAAATAATCTTGTTAAAAAGAGAATTCGTCGACTTTATCTGATTTAAAAGGAGTGATTAAGGTAGTCCATATAGTAGACGGTTAATGATGATTGGCTGCTGTCATTGGCGTACAATTATCGCCAACTGTCTTGACGTTAGCTGGAAGAGAGGCACGGGCCTAATGGGCTGGCAAACGTTTGATGAGAGCCGTGCCGGTTGCAGGGTGCGATGATAAGCGAGAGATAACATGAAAAGAGAAAGAGAGAAACAGACAGACAGACAGACAGACAGACAGACAGACAGACAGAGAGAGGGAGAGAGAGAGAGAGAAATGAACGGCTTGCTAGCTGCTTGGCAGCTTGGCTTGCTAGCTGGCTTGAGGCAAGGCGCGAGTTTGCACGACGAGCGTGCGAGCCCCGTGTATCATCGTGAATAGGGAGCAATCAGATATCATTAGCCTTTTTACCGAGGCCGTCGTTGTACCGCAAGGCCGTCCGAGACTTTCCCACGATCCTTGCAGGTGCATCGATTTCTTATCGATCGTCCCTTTGATGTTTCCTCGATCATCCCCTTCGTATAACTCCTATACGTAAGTAACTAGATATGTCAGACAATTTTTTTCTTTATTTTTATCTCTTCTCGTTTTTCATCTCTCTTTTGTTTTTTTACTATTCTCTTTAATCATTTAAATTTAATAATTAATTTGTATGTCGAACGAAATACTATATTAAACGATCAGAATTTCTCAATGTTTATTTTCATTCTTCCATTGATACATAATACGATCGTTCCCGATTTATACATTTATTTGGGATTTAGCGTACGAATTAGGATCATGTGATTTTATCTGTTTAATATAAACTTCGATTCGATTGATAAATCTGGGTAATAAAAGTATATAGAATTTTGTCTACGATGGAAACACGTACTTGTAAACAAGACGTGATACTCATTATTTATGTACATATATATTCTTTTTTCATTATAACACATATATATATATATATATATATATATATTATAATGACAAAAATATTTTTATGATGTTATCAATGATCGTTGCAATGATTCGATTAATGTTCCGTGTACACACACACACACACACACACACATATATATATATATATGAATTTACGGCTCGAATATTATACTCCATGTTCGCGATTTTCTTGTATTTTCCAAAGAGGGAAGATAAGAACGTAAGAATGTATACTATAGATAGTTATTTATGATCTTTTAGGTGGGAAAATAGTTGGTGCGTCGCGATGCGTGTCGCCTCGCTTTCGCGATGATATATGACGCTTATTTTAGAAGCGAGTCTTCCTTAAATGCCCGGTAAATAACGCGAGCCGTCTAAGGAAAATCGTCGATTTCCTTTTGATGGCCAATAGCTGCGAAGAATTACTGACGTACTCGAAACTCCTTTTCTCTTTTTTCTTTTCTTTTTTCTTGGTTTTTTTTTCTCTCCACCTGTTGTCCCGTAAAACAACATACAAAGTTTCATGTAAACTTTGTCCTCTTCCTATGTCAACAACCGTAAAAAAGGACAAGGTGTCAACGTCGTTCTAACATAGTCGATCGTTCGATTACCAAAGAACGACTAACCGACGAATTATTTCCTGATTTTGTTTACGTACAAAATATTGAAACGATATTCTTTCTGAATAAAGAAGAAGAAAAAGAAAAGCAAAACAAAACGAAGAATAATAGAAGCAAATTGTTCTTATCAATGAAATTTTGCTCTGTATTGTACAAATAAGAAGAAAAAAAAACAGAAAGAAAGAAAAACACAATCATGGTGAAGTGCATGAAAAGAGTATTTCGCTTAGTTATGAAAAAGAAGAATTACTATCTGATAGGTTTTAAGATTTTCTTTTTTTAAATTCATATCATCAAAAGTTCCTCACGAACCTTGCGTCTTGATAAGACAGAGAAAGAGATGATAACGCGGGATGAGAAATTACAATAGAGACTAAAACAAAATAAAGAGAAAAAGAAGAAAAAAAGAAAAAAAAGAAAAAAGAGATAGATTATCGATCTTTTACGTTATGTTACGGTCTCACGATCGAAAACGGGAAAGAAAGTTAAAGGAGAAATACACCAATTCGAAGAATAGATTTAACACCTAGATCGAGAAGAGTCCGTCCTCTTCATTCTCCTCCTTCTCTTGTTCCTTCTGTTCCTTCTCTTTGGTATCGGGAGTCGTCGCGCCGTGGTATCGCACGCTTGTGCAGGTAACGAGTTTCAAATGAGATTCCGATGTTTTGTCCCGGTCTCTCGTTGGGTATCGCGTTTAACAGCGATAACGAGGAAATCCCCGCGTTGGAACGAGTCACGACGCTGATGCCAGAACCACGAAGGGAAGGAAAGGGAACTTTGAACCAATGGAAAAGGGCTAACCCAGTCGTATGTATTAGAGAGAAACTATACGTCCATTCTTTTCTAGTTAGACAACCCAATACACGTATACGCACATAGATGAAACGTGCAGATACAAAATACAAGAGTTATATATACTTATGAAAGGATATATGTGTGTACGTGTGCATTCGTATGTATACGTGCGTGAGTGTACTCGATGCCGCGTTTTCTCTAATTCTCCATGATTGATGGCGATTGGTGAATTTTTGTTTTCCCCTTGGACAGAAGAACGGAGTGGCAGGTGATTACCGTCGGTAGGCTGGTCTCGGTGCAGTTCGGTACAACTCGGTACAGCTCGGGGTGCCTCTCTCGGATCTCCATTTAGCTTTGAAAGAAGAATCTTTCTTTTGCTCTCTCTCTCTCTCTC